GAGAGAGAGAGAGAGAGAGAGAGAGAGAGAGAGAGAGAGAGAGAGAGAGAGAGAGAGAGAGACACACACACACACAAAATGGACAGGGCATAGAACCTGCTTGTCGTCTTGTTGCGGCAATAGCCATGATCTTCAAGAACCTGTGTATATCATTTCAAGTTGTAATTACGTCCTGTGTGTGCTCGTATTGTGTGGATCTTGCTGTTGCATCTTCGATTTTGATCCGGGTTGGACCAGATCTTTGCAAAAATCACCCTCGGATTTTGTTATAAATGGCATGACAAATCGCCTGAAAATTTAGATCTCCGTTAACCATCTCTCTCTGTTATATGTGACAATATTTATTCAACATACATGCGGTGCATCACGTGCGCGCAAGTTCCACCCGTGCGCCGCATAGCGCACGCGAACATGATGCGGCGCACGTACGAATATAGGGTCGGTTAAAAATTCAAAAAGGGCAGGCTGTGGTAGCCAAATGCGCCCCTCCATTCGCTTTTTTTTGTCTTCCTCACTCTAGCTACCTCCCGTGTATACTAGCCAACCTGGCACAACACCTCAAGGCAACCGAGCACAGACAACGGGCCAAGAGACAATGAACCAGGGTAACACAGGACCTTAAATTCACTAGCTAAGCCTAGGCTATCCTAAGGTTATGGGTCCACATGCTCTCTCTATATCCCATCCTTACCTAACTCTGCTCTTTGCAGGAAGCAGTACCCTGGCTCCTAACACCTGGGGTGGGCTACAGTCTTCCCCCGAATACAACGTACGGTCATTATAGCTGAATTTAGACTGAAAAGATGCACCAAATTCAGCTATAATGACCGTACGTTGTATTCGGGGGAAGACTGTAGAAGGTTAGAACAGCACCTCCTTACAAACCTGGAGGCCCAAGCCAACTTTCTCCGCTGGTGAACCCGCAGCATGCCCCCAGGAGGTCACGGGGATCGAAAGGACGACGTGGGGAATCGAACCCACGACCTCCTGAATGCCACTTACGTGCTCAACCAACCGAGCTAGCCCTCTGAAAATTGTAAGTGCACCCAAAAAGAAAAAAATCGGGCCACATCATACTCCTGATCGGTCGCTTCTTTTTTTTTGGCACATCAGCGACCAGCGCACCGCACTGCACCGTGCGCCTCACATATGCGGCGCAAGTATGCTTATTCAAACTTTGCTGACCACAATTTTGGTTGTGGCACAGAAGGGAAGCACTGCTTGCTTCATATCTCATAGCAGATCACTTTGTATCGAGTATATTAGGTTGCTTTGGCTTTGAGAGATCAATCATAAAAAGCTCCGTAAAAAAGAAGAGAATTCATAATGGCTTTCAGTCCACTTGAACAAGTAGCTATTATTAAGTTTGTATTACTTCGTAGTAATTTCATAATATTTATATAGGAAACTGACCAATAGATGATTGCATACGACAACAACTAACAGTGAGTGAAAACACACTAAATTAATTGTCCATCAAAAAGAAAAAAAAGAAAAGCAGAAGAGAGGGTGTAGCCTTCAGGCTGCTGTACGTCAGCGATTAGAGCAGTATTGAGCTTGCACTGGCCTGCCAGAGCCCTGGGTCACATCATCCATGCTCATACTGGAAGCGACTTTTGCTTGTGGCATCGCTCCCTTCATTGAAATGGGAACTTCTTCTTGAGGACGGGCAGCACCATTTCTAGAAGAGAGAGCATAGATGAGTTCATGTGTGTCGAAGCATGCTCGAGAGAAGAATGCCGGCACTGATGGATGCGACCTCGCTTGGACTTCATGCCAGCCCATTGGCCATTGAACAATCAATCACCTGTACATCAAGATATTCCTATCAAGATAATTGGTATTACTATTACATTCACGGCTGTCAGAACACCTATGGTCGACGCCTACCGTAGGCCGTCGGCTCGCCTACCAGTCGGGCCGACCCGTAGGTGGACTGGTCGGCAGTCTGGAGAGGGTAATCCACTGTTTTTTTTTCAAATCTGAGTTCAGGGCTGTAATGCGCTTGCTGAGTACAGCCCAAATCCGCTGGGGTTATAGGGGGTGGT